CTTTGTTAAAAGCACGCATTTGACACTTATGAAAACTATATGGGAGGCCATTCAGCATTATCTTGAAATAACATGCAGAGTGCATAATCTGACTCAACACAATTGTGTCAGAGTTTTCTTTCTTTTTTAAAATCATTTTAATGAGCGCTCCTACAGATATTATAATAATCCATAATTCAATTACATTAAGCATCATTGTACAATTGCTGCCACCATTGTTTTCAAAACATTTTCTTTCTTCTTAAATTCTTTGATATTAGCTCCCTCCCATACCCTACTCCCCCAGGAACCCTTGTTATTATATTACATATAATATATATGTAATAACATATATATATATTACTGTATCTTATGCCATCCAATGTATCTGTTCACCTACAATCCTGTTATTCATTCCCCTCCAGTGGGGTTATACAGTCATCATTGCTACCTGCTCCCCCTTCCCCCCACCCCATCCATACCATCCCTCTCTTCCCATACCGTCATGGAATCCATTACTCCCATTTCTATTTCTGAAGGGTTTATCTATCTTGGATTTCATCCACTGAGCACTATCAATTATACAAATAAACATTCACAGGTCTAACAAGATTAATGGGGTAAAACTAAGACCATAATAGTAAGGGGAGGAAATATTAAAGAACTAGGGGATAGTTATGTGTTTCATAAGTACTGTACTGCACCCTGGATATGTCATTCCTTCCATGTGGCCCTTCTGTGCGGAACTGCCCAGTTATCTTACAAGTAGGTTTTGGGTCTCCACTTTGTCTATGCTCCTTCACATCAATTTGATTGCTTGTTTTATTAATTTCTGATACCTATTCCCATCAATATCTCATGATCACACAGGCTGGTGTGCTTCTTCTATGTGGGTTGTGTTGCTTCTCTGATAGATGGCTGCTTGTTAAACTTCAAATATTTAAAATCCCAGATGCTATATCTTTTAATAGCTGAGCACCATTAGTTTTCTTCACCACATTTACTTATGCACCCATTTTGTCTGGTGATCATGTCAGGAAGGTGAGTAACATCCAATGCCACATTATTAGAACAAATAATTCTTGTACCGAGGTGATTTTAAGTAGAGGCCCAAAGTTCATCTACTTCCATCTATCTGTCTATCTATCTATCTATCTATCTATCTATCTATCTATCTATCTATCTATACACACACAAATACCCCTATCTTTATATAGGTATATATTTACATATATACACACTTATATTTAGAATATATTTATATATAAATATAAATTTATATATATTTATAACTATATACATAATTTTTACTTTCTTGTTCTTTCCTCTTTTTCTTTCCTCCTACCCCACTATCATGTCTACCCATCATTCACTTCTCAGTAATTCTTCTTGGATACATTTCAATTGATCAGACACGAGGGATATTCATCTACTCTGGGTTAGAGTTTTCTTTAAGTTACTTTTGTAGTTAGTATTAAATTTTGACTCAATATGAGAATGTTTTTCATTAGGCAAGTTTTTACCTGTTAATGTTTATTACTGTAACTGATAAGACCACAGTTAGAATGCTCATTTCAATTTGTTTCCCATATCTTTTGGGGAGAATAGTAATTTCTACAGCTTTTGATTTTATGTTTTTAATGCGAGGACCTTGTGTAGATTGGTGCCCTGTTAATGGTAAGTAATAATGTTACTACCACTGTTGGGTCTGCAGCTATTGTTATCAATTGTCAGTTTTCTGTTCCCTACTCAAAATGGTAGATTAAGACTTGCTCTGCCTATTCCCAGGAATAGTCTGTCACTCTTCCTGCAGTGTGGATGCTTAACCACTTTGAGAGAAGACTACTTGGCTATCCCTTTCTGAAGCAGTTCTTTCTGCTGGGGAGAGGTCAAAACAAGAACACTGTGTAGGAACGTCTTATGCTTTTGTAGCACTTTACACTTGAAAGAAAGTGCTTGTGTGTCTAACATGTTTAATCCCTCCCAAAAGCCTTATAAGGTATTATCTTACAAGTATTATCTTATAAGCATTAAAGTATTATCTCTTTTTAATTGGTGGAAGAAAGCGAAGCTTGAGAGATTAAGTTGATCAAGACTATGGACTATTTAGGTGTGATTCAGAGGTGAAAATACTTATCTTCTGATTCTAAAGCCATTGATCTCCCAAAATACAGAAACAGTTGTCAACTTACTGTGCCCTTTATATTTAAAATGCTAAAAAGAAGTGACTACACTTGGTAAACTGAATAAAGAAAAAAAATAAACAAACAAAAAAATAAAGACAGCACTATTACTTCCTCAGCAATCAAGGAATAATTATTATGGTGATTTATGCCCTTAGTGCTATTAATACGTTTTCAGCTTTTTATAATGTGCCTTTTTCTAACGACTGTGGTCACATTTAAACTCTGATTTACTGTTTGTATGTTGTGACTTCGGTTTCCAAAAATACCCTTTAACGTGGAGATGGGTGTGGGTGTATGTTGGGGGAGGGAAGGAGGGGTATCTCCCCCAAAGTCCATTGTTCCATGTTGTAACTATTCAACTTTCCATTTAAATTCTCAAAAGAAAAAGTAAAACCAGTTCTCAGCGTCCAATAAAAATAAGTAGCCAGATCTTTCTCTCATTGTTATACACGAACTGTTTCACTGTGGATCTTGTTTCGCTTTTTACTGCTCTCCTTGGAGAAGATGGCTAATGTAAACGGCAGAATCCTGGCAGTGCGTCGCGGGCCCTGGTGACTTTATGAGTTTCCCCTAGAGCAAATGGCTGGGTCAGTGCAACCTCCTGGTTCTTCTCAGCACACGGCTAGTATTCATTTTCCTCTGAAGCTTGCCATAGATAAGTCAACTCAGAGCCCCAACGTTCTTGTTTCAACATGCTGACCCAGTGACTTTCTCTGTCCATGTGAAGATTTGGGGCCATAGGATAGAGAGGTGGCATTGACAATCTCACTGGGACTGAGCCTTCTCAAATGTATCATCTGGTAGCAAATAACACAACCTGAGGCAATAAGCAATTAGTTTCACGCTGTCTTGATTTGTGGTGGGAGAACTGGTGATTGGGTCTTTCCCCGGTGCTACCGGTAAACCTCTTCACCGAGAGGTAAACTGTTGAACATGCAAAGAGACATCAGTCCAGCCATTTGGTTTTCACACTGTTGCAGTCTCCGTGAGGTGGAGATTGGCGTTCCCTTTTATTTACTGTACGTATACTGTCTGATCTCTCACCTCCTGCGTGTGAAACCTTACAAAAGCACTCTGGTTGGCTTTAAAGCGTTTATAGCATTTTAGAGCTTTCTTCTCTTGTGATTTCCTGTAAAATTCATTAGCCAGGGTTTCTTGAGCCAAGCACAATAGAAAAATGAGATACTCCCCCCCCCCCAACAAAAGAAGAAGAACAGAAAGAACCTTAACTATCACTTGAGCCCCTCAGGGGTGCTTTTCTCTTGTTACATCTATTCCCATAGCTAACATATGTGAAGCAGAAACTGTGCCGAGCACTTCAGAAGCAGATGTCACCTAATCCATACCACAGACCTGTATGGTGGATACTAGCTACTTCTTATTTTACACCCCCCCAAAAATATGTATCTTGAAGTATAAAGATATATAGGAAGTTAAGTGGGCATATAAGTAAATGATGTCATTCAACCCTTTTATTTTCCTGCAAAAAGAAAACAACAATGCCATTGAATCAATTCTATGTTTTGGAAACCCTATGTATTGCAAAGTAGATCTGCACTCCCTGGGGTTTTGAAGGCTGTAGCCTCCGGAAGTGGATTGCCAGGCCTTTCTCCCAAGGTGCTTCTGGATCCCACCAACCATTTGGTGAGGAGTCAATTGATGTCACTCAGGGATTCCTACTATTGAACTGGCTTTCCTCAGATAAATTATTATCTCACTCTTTATAAGTTCAAAGTTCAAAGAATTAGGCTTGAAAACACCTTAAGCAATTGTAACATTGTTCTCTTTCATATTATACAGCATGCATTTCAAAATAACTATTGATTTTTACCTCAACTTTTCATGTCTGTCTGATTTAAACAAGTAATAATAATAGACAAAGTCTTTTTAACATTCTTTCCTAGATTCTGTTTTATAATGCTTCAGCCATTGTATTCCATTTCCTGACATTCTGTTAAAGGGTGAAAATAATCAATCAGATACTCATTACTTGTAATAAAGAAAAAAATAAACTAAAAATGACAAAGGAATTGTAGCTTAAAGTAACTCCAGGTAATGGATGAAGCTGATTTTTATTTGTAATGTTGCTTAAAATATAAGAAGTAATTTTTTTTTAACAAAAAGACTGTTTTCAGAGAGAAGCTTATTAAAAAATACTAGCGATAATTTATTCTAGCATCAGAGTAATTTCAACAAAATATTTGCAATCCCTTTTATATAAAGTAAACCGAACAAGAATTTATTGAACATTTCTTTTGTTCTCAGAAATTTAAAGAGAACACAGACTATGTTTAAGAAAATGGCTTCTGCCCTGAGATGCTTGCAATTTAGTGCACGAGAGATGACCCACCCAAATCTAAGTACACCCAATGCGGTTCATGTTGTGGTCCTACCTTCCTTGTAGCTCTTTATTAAGACCTGAGCATTTTTAAAAGTATATCTTCAATCTGACTTCTTCTTGCAAGAAGCTTGGTTTTGAATTTCAGAAATAGCCTAACTTTTTTTGCTCCCTCAGTCAATGCTGACTCACAGTCCTCCCCCCACCCCCCCACAATGCCCCACCCCCCACCCCCGTGGGTTTCCAAGACTGTAACTGTTTAGGAGTGTAGAAAGCCCAGTCTTTCTCCTGAGGAGCTGCTGGTGGTTTTGAACTGCCAACCATGCAGATACTAACCACTACACTACCAGGGCTCCAGTTTTTTTGCTGGAAGACTAGAATCTAAGGAACCCTACCCCATTTATAGACAGGTAATTGTGGTAGATTTTTAATTACAGGTTGAATTGCTAGACAATGCTTTCATATCACCCACTGTCTATGTTCTTGTTACTCTTCAGAGTCGTCAGACACTGGGCTTTCCCTTGTAGCGCATACCACCGTCCCATTTGGAGTCACATACTTGGAACATAGCACTGAGGACGTGAAGGAGTTAATCTTCAGGCAACTGGAAGACGTTTTGCCAGATTTGCCTCAGCCAGTTGGGACAAAATGCCAGAGATGGAGATATTCACAGGTAATCGGATAATCCAGTGGCCCGAGCACAACTATTTTCATACTAAGACAGCTGAATTAACTTTACTTTTCATCCTTTGCCACTTTGGAACAAATATGTATTTGCCTAACATGTAAGGACATACTTCTGCAGAGGAGTTATTTGGAATCAGATGTGTAGGTATATAGAAACGATTAGAACCTCCTGAATGTTTGCAGTATGTCAAGTTCAACTTACAAATGTATTTCTTTTCTACCCAATTTTCATGTTTATCAAGTTTCCTCTTTGGTTTTGACTGCTGCCAGCAAAACTCTTTGAGGGAGAAAGATGAGTTCCTGCATGGAACAGCTAGTTGAGCTGTTTCTCAGGGTTAGGTAAACTTACTGATTGCTCTAACAGTTCAAACTTTAAGCTCTTCATACTAAGTAAATGTTGACTCAGTATTTGTAAGGGGAAAAAAAAAAAACCTTTTTTCTATGTAAACTCAATTGTGAAACCATCTGAGCGCAATGGAGCAAAAGGTAGAACACAAAAAGAAGCACAGGATTGTCTATTTCCCCCGAGATTCCTGAGCCTATGATTAGCATATCAGTACTAGAGTCTCCATCACAGTTGGCCAGAAAAGCAGTTTTGTGAAAAATCATAGCAGATTTTTGTATATTTTAATGGGACTCCCCATATCAGAGGAGATGTAAATTATTCCCTAAAAGTCTGATACACATGTCTATGTGTTTACCCATGTCCTCTCAAGCTAAATTATCCCGTGAGCCTTTGGGGAAAATATTTACTTAAGCGTGTCATGGTCATTTTAGAAGACTTTCCTTTTCCCTTTTAAGTATCTTAAGAAATTTCAATATCTCATGTCCCTAAGCTACAATTTTAATACAATTTCTGGTTGGCTTGGAAAAGGCAACAGTGAAATTGTCTTGTTGATATAATTTGAATGAAGTGTATTACATACCAATTCACTTTGACATCTACACATAATCCCCAAAAGAAACAGTAGTTGATGAGGCTTCCTCTTATGCTGAATTTCTCAATTAACTTTTTAAATATTAGTTTAAAATATACTCTTTCCTTAAAAGTTAATGTGTTAACAAAAAATAGATTTGTCCTAACCACAAGAAGGCCTATTTGAAGTTGTGCAACATCACAAAATTTAATAAAAGTCTTTGAACACAATGTACATCCAAACCCTAGCAATGAATTTTTATTACAGTTTGGATGTTCTTGCTTGAAATTATCCTGCTAGCGTTTTATAGCTTTGTCATCAAGCAAGAAGTCTACATGACTATAAAACCTAAAAGGGACTAAGTTGTCATTCAAACTGAGAAGTTTCCATTTTTCACTATTTACCTTGAGCATAATCTAATAGAATAGTATAACATTGTCATTGATGGCAGAGATGTTAGCTACAGTGTGTTTGACTCCCCACCCCACCCACCCTCCTTATAAATTATGTGACCTCTGCAAAAGCAATAGTGATGATCCAGAGATTTAATAGCATTTAATTACATAGTTAGTTTTCAATTACCATTTCCAAGAAAGCATTTCTCCAATGCTTTTAAAAGGCCTACCTTACTTTTGGGAATTTAATATCAATACACGCATCCATCTTCTCTTGCCACCTCAGTACATGCAATGCACCTTCCATAACTTCATGTCTATTTTTGTATGAATATGATCTAAAAAAAGGTGAAAGGAAGGATGATGTGGGACCAGGAAGACAAAACAAAAAGAACTACCCACTAGTTTCTAACTTCCCTCCTTCCTAAGTAGAAGCGCAGCTCCACTGCAGAGAACCCAGCCCAAACCCCACCCCTGTATTTTTTTTCCAGATCTGGTTCCACACTACTTTCCTTTTCTCATCCTCCTCCCATCCTGATCCACCCACACTTCCCTGTTCTCCCATATTCCTCAGCCTTCCTTTCCTTTATTCTCTCTGAAACCGAAAATATGATCCCTACACTGTATACTGGCATTGATGGATTTTGAAAGTATGGAGAAAATATGATTAATAAAGGAAAACAGCTATGATGCACCTGGTCTAAGCCTAGACAAACTTACATGCTCATTTAATAGCAACAACTATCTTATGAGATTGCTAGTTTTAAACTACTCTAAGGATGACAGGTTCAAATATTTAACAAACTCAACTGCAAACAAAAGGTTGGAGGTTGAAGTCGACTCAGAGGCGCTGAAGAAGAAAGGCCTAGCAATCTACTTCCCAGAAAAATCAGCAATGGAAACCCTATGAAGTCATTCTATCCACCTGAGGTCACCAGAAGTTGGACTTGACATGAGGGCAATGGTGGGAGTGTGTGTGTGTGTGTGTGTGTGTGTGTGTGTGTGTGTGTGTGTAGGAGGGGGTGGTGGTGCACGCATTCTTTAAAATAATGGAATTACCCTCCAAAGTCCTTGATTAGTATGGTGTGATGGTTGGGGATTATGTCAACTAGACACTCTTGGGTAAGGGTAAGAGCACAGCCCAACCTATGGAGGAGATCAAAGCCTGATGACACCTCCTTGATTTTATGAGCCTTTGTGTATAACACGGAGAAACTGATGAGAGTTGAATCCTCTTTGACCCTTTGACTTTGAGTGGAGCCGGACCTTGCATCGATGTCCTGTTGTGTTGCCTACCAATCCCACGAGCCCGCAGTGAACAATCAACAGTGGATTCATTTGGCTGACTTCCTAACTCTGCATCCACCAACCTGTGCCCCCTGCTGTCTACAGCATCATCCTGCTTCCTATTTGTCAGCTCCCATGAGTCAGGAGAAGCCTGACTTGAACTGAACTGAACTTACCTATTTCTATAACCATATAAGCTATTTCTTGATATAAATTCCTTTCTAGATACAAACACATATAAGGGTCACTGATTTTTGCTTCTCTAGAGAAGCCAACCTAACACATGTGGTAAATTGAAATCTCTTCATATGACTGTTCTATCCTTAACTCCCACCAAATTATAGGGTGAGACTAAGCAAATAAGGTAGGAAAACTCTAAGAGAAGGGATTACTTAGTTTGCCACTTCTCTGCCTGTAAGAATGAGCCATCTCAAAAACAGGACAGAAAATTCTCAGGACCATCTAGGAAAAAGAACCGCCATCAGAACATTTTTGAGATCCCCACTTGAAGTGGTCGACTTCATGCCACACCAAGACCAGAGCCCGAGGTACGGAGTCTATGAGACAGAGCAGAGAAGCAGCACTGTGACTATGAGACTGTGAGGCAGAGCAGGAGGCAGGCTTCCCAAGCCCCAGTGCCTGAGTCCATGGAAATATAGGCGAGATGTGGCTGTGGACCAATGACTGTATCCTTATGATGCTGGCTTGTGGTAACCTGCTAACTTCCATAGTAAACACCCACAATTATGAGCATTGTCTGTAAGTTTTTTGTGACCCTCAAATCCAGGAGCAAAGAAGTGTGTCAAAGGAGGAGCAGTTGGTGTCAGAAGAGGGTAAAAAGAAGGATGGAGGGTAGAGGCATGTCTGACCTCTGCCTTATGACAATTAGGTGGGGTCAGATTCTCCTCCCTTGTTTAGCCGGAGGAAGTCAGATATGGCCTCCACACCCTTTTTGCAGCTCTAAACCAAAAGTCAAACTCAACTCCATCATGGTAGCATAGTGGATTTCAAGTTGGGTTGCTGACCACAAGATCAGCAGTTCAAAACCACCCCATGCATGACAGAAGGAAACGATGTCCCGTTCTGCCCCATCCTCATAGTTGAGCCCATTGTTGCAGCCACTGTGTCAGTCCATCGTGTTGAGGGCCTTCCCGTTTTTCACTGCCCTCCACTTTATCCAGCACACTGTCCTTCTCCTGGGGCTATGTCTCCTGATGATATGTCCAAAGTATGTGAGATGAACTCTTGCCATCTTGCTTCTAAGGAGCACTCTGGCCATAGTTCTTCCAAGACAGACTTGTGTATCCTTTTGGCACTTCGTGGTATGTTCAATATGTTTCTCTGGCACCACAAGTCAAATGCATGGACTCTTCTTCAGTCTTTCTTATTCAATATTCAACTTGCACACTCATGAGAAGCGATTGAAAATATCATGACTTAGGTCAAGTGCACCTTAGTCTTCAATGGAACATCATTGCTTTTCAATGCTTGAAAGAGGTCTTATGCAACAGATTTACCTAATGCAACGTGACTTTTGATCTGTTGACTGCTGCTTCCATGAGCAGTGATTGTGGATCCAAGCAAGACTAAATACTTGACAGCTTCAACCTTTCCTCCACTTACCACAATGTTACCAGTTGGTCCAGTTGTGAGGCTAGGGATGACAAAACCCAGTCTGACTCTCTACTTCTTCCTTCCTTTTTGCTTTCCTTGTTTTCTGCTGCCTATAGCTACTGTACCAAATTACCACCTACTGAGTGGATTTAAAAGACCCAACTTTATTATTTTACAAAGCTGAAGGCCATTTATCCACCCTGAGTCTCACTGGGCTAAAAACAAGGTTCCAGCAGGGCTGCATTCCTCCCAGAGGCTCTGAGGCCACTCATTTCCTGGCTAATACCCACCCCTTCCAGCTAGCAACAAGGAGTCAAGTCCTCATATTGCATCAATCTGACACCCCGCCCCAAACCCCATTCACTTTTAAGGACCTCTGTGATTATACAGGCCCAACTGAATATTCAAGATGATCTTCCTGTCTGAAGATCAGATAATTAGCAACCCTAGTTCTCCATAACCATTTTAGCATAACAGTTAGAGGTTCTGAAGATCAATGTGGACATGTGGGGTGTGTGTAATTTTTCTGCCTACCACACCCTCCATTCCCCCATAACTCTTGGTAGATCACTTTTTGAGTCAGTATCTCTTACCCTTCTCATAAAGTCTCTGGGAGAACATCAGTTCTTTAAAATCAAGTCCCCACCATGGGGTGGCTAGTAAATTGGGAGAAAGGCCTAGAAATCTGCTTATAAGAAGCCATTGTAAACTCTAGAGTTTCACGCCAAGCGGTTTTGTTCTGATGCGTGTGGAGTCACTGTGAATTGGAATCA